ACACACACACACACACACACACACACCCACACACACACACACGTACACACACAAACACAAACACGCACGCACACACACTCACGCACACATGTGATGAGATCACTAAGATATGAGGGAGCTTTGTTATTGACACATTTTTGACATAATATTGTACATATCTTTTATCATGGGTCAAGCATTGCGTAAATATATTATTTCTGTCACAGGGCCAAGTCAGGCAGCGTAACAATGAAAAAGAAGATAAAACTAAGATCAACGAGGTGCCCAGAGGAAGAAACATTTCTATTTTCTAGGAAGAGTCAAAGATGGCACAGGAGGAACAATCTCTGATGCCAAGACCAGGATTGAAAAAGCAAGAGAGGGATCCCAACAGTTGCAGTCTATCTGGAGATCAGGAAGCATCAGGACAATGACAAATGAGACAAAGATCAGGATTTTCAAAACAAATGTGAAAAAGTGTAGACTTATAGTATGACACCATTTTGAGTCAGACATTGTCATGTGCTAAATTTTCTTAAAAGTCAAAAGATAGTTTGTAATCCGGATTTTTTAAAAAGAGGTGGCTTATGACCTGTCCTGTGTGACATGTTACAACATAGAAATGGTACAATTTCGTGTGAAATAGATCTAGGTGATTTCTTTTTTTTATATATTTTTTTAAACTCATTCATAACAGGCATATGGCATGGTATTTCAGCTTGGAAGCAATTTATGGACCATTTACTGCATATTTATGCAAGAAAAAAAAGTACAACTGTGTTGTCACATGTCACAATTAAGGATCGAGAGCCAGACAAACTTTTCCTATTGAAAAGCATCCTTGGAAAGTTATGGACTTTCTTTCCAGATTTTGGGCTTTTAGCAGTGCTTAAATTTCGCCATGTGTTGCAAAAGGAAGTGCTGTCAGGTGCTTGCTTATGTCAAGTTACATGCCCCTTGTGACAAAACTAAGACAGTGCCATTTTTCATCATTGGTTGCCTGAGGACGATCAGATAAATCCACCGTGGCCTGACACTATCAGAAATGTTGTCTAATGGAGGGAAATCAAACAACAACAAATTGACAGAGAGATCAAGAAAAGATGGCGATGGATTTGGGCATGATATGCATAGAAAGCCAGTCCACAATGTGACAAGACAAAGCCTAAGATGGATTCCCAGGGGGCGAAGGAAGAGGGGAAGGCCGAGATCCACATTCCATAGGAACGAGGTCTGGAGGCAGATGATCTTTTGCTTATGAGGCAGAGCTGGCTGTAGGCAGAGAAGACCGCCCAGAACATAGACAGGTGGAAAGCCTAAAGTTTCTTAACCGCCTTTACCCAGAACACATGAACCAGGATGAAAGACACATGATGATGACGACATATTATATTTTCGTCAGCTCACTGCAAAAGCGAGACCAAAGCCACGGGCACCACCACTACGGCTGCCAAGTTACTGCCAACCACAACAGCTACAGCAAAAACAACAATAGGTTAGGCTCTCCGACTCGCAACCGTAAGGTCGTGGGTTCGAATTCCGCCAGGGACTCGACGTTGTGTCCTTGGGAAAGGGCACTTTACACGAATGTTCCTTTCTTCACCCAGAAGGGAAGGGATACTCAGCTGTAGGCCTAAACAGTGAAAAATCTTGTCAGTTTGTTAGTGTTTGAGCGCGTGCAATCTGCCGCTTGCAATAAAAGGATACTTTCCAGGAACCTGAGAATGTTTCTGAATGTTCTAGGGTCTGCTGGCGTAATAATGGTTATAAAGCGAAAGAGCTGTTGGGTGTGGGTAATATGCGTAAGTAAATGCAGTTATTATTATCATTAACAACTACATACTTCTACAACATGATATAGTACTCCTACTACTTCTACTACTGGTACATGTAGTAGTATTTGTTCTGGTACTAAGCTTAATTACTACTAACTACCAAAACCACTATCACCACTACAACTGCTGCTACTATAACTGTTACTTACTACATGACGTAACATGTACTGTTGCTGCTGCTGTCACCACTACTATTACTACTACTACCACTGCTAATACTACTACATGCTATTGCTACGACAAAGATGGAGACGACAACAGACAAGAAGCTAACCCATTCATTATTAAATAGTATGTATATATATAGATCTAATTATTGTATATATAGTATCAGAGACAACGTATTTACACTGTCTCTGATGATATCTAATTTAGTGTACCGTAAAACCCGAGTATCAAGTCCATCGTGCACCTTGCCGGAACTTGGCCCCACACTCCGAAGTTCCAAGGGACATCACTCCACTTGTCCTTTTCTACTTCCTTTTCCTTTATAGCTTTCCGAGACTCCGGATCATTGTAAGTTTACATAGAAAATCTATTAAATATCTCATCGATTTCTAAACATTGTTGTGAATTTATTATTTTATGTTAATAATTGATGTTTTGACCTACTGACACAATATTTATTTTTCTTGTTTTCACAGAAGGATATCCGTTTCAATCATGTCTGACGCGGAAGGGTGAGTGCAGCTCGATTGCGTTGTTTACCTTCTCCATGTCCATGCTTGTTGTGCATACTTCAACTTCAGGTCTTCCAAGATTTCTGGCGAAAATTTTACAACCACATGTACTACTTTTGTTTTGAAAGAAATTAATCTAGATTTTAGATTTAGAATCTAATAGAGTACTCGGTCCGAATAAAAATACGATCAACCTCTCACCGCGGGTGAGACTTTGACTTGCCAGCGTTGGCTATTCTCACCCGGCCAGTGTGAAACAAGACCTGTTTTTCCTAATTTCAGAATACTGTCTATAGGTGTGGGTGATCAAATTGGTAAAAGCAAAGAAAAGATGACGTTATATAGCACAAAAGTGAGCTAATTTGATTGTCTACAAAGATGCTATGGCTATGGCGGCTATTTCACTTTTCGAATCGAGCCGAACTACACGCGGGTCGCCATTTTGTTTTGCCCGGAAGTTTTCGCAATATCTACTCCTCCCCTCTCTCTCTGTCTCTTTCTGTATAGATCTAGATCTAGATCTAGATTCTAGATCTACTGTCTATCGGTGTGGACGATAAAATTGACCAAAACAATGTTAAAAAACAAAAGTAAATTAATTCGGTCGTCTACAAAAAAGATGCTAGGGCTATTTTATTTAACTTTTCGAATCGAGCGGAACTAAGCGGGTCGCCATTTTGTTTTGCCCGGAAGTTCTCGCGCTTTTCCCTTTCTCTCTCCACTGCCCACAGACAAAATTGCTCGCTTTTAGGATTTTGGGCTAACAGTAGTAATGGAACGTTTGTTCACGGCACAGAATTTTACAATTCTGTTAGAATCACAGTCACAGTGTAGAATTCTGTGGTTCAGGGTGAACGCTACACTCATGGTTGGCCTAGGCTATAACGGTGAACGCACACCGGGTGAGAATAGAGGTGGCCGTTGACCGTACCAACAATTAGCCATTAGGCTTGTTAGATCTAGGGCCTACTTCTGGGTCAAAAAGATTACTTTTTGCTGCACATGCTGATAACTATGGAGAGATAGCCAATCAAACCGTATAGCAAATTATTGTCAAATTCAGGGGGGGGGGGCGCACGAAGTGTATACAGACCCGGTAGGGGAACTCTTTTGTGATTTCAGAAAGTTTCAGCGCCCAGACCCGGTAGTGTGTGTGTGTGAGAGGGAGAGAGAGAGAGAGATGCTAGCAAAATGTAAATGACATGCCCCAGTTGGCAGGAGGGAACGAGAGAAAGACAGACAAACAAAGAAAAAGAGAAGGCGAGAGATACACAGAGGAGATAGAGGCAGAGAAATGGAGAGGGTCACTGCTCGATTGAAATTATGTATTGTTCTTTTCTTCAAATTGTGATTCCTCCAACTCTGAAACGGAGGAAAAACGATCGTTCATCGAAAAGACATTCGCAATCTTCATTTAGATCTAGACCTAGGCTATAGATCTAGACTCTAGATTTCTAGAAGAACCATAGTGTTTTCTCTGTACATCTATGAGAAGAACCTAGATCTAGAATAGGTCTACCCTGAGCCAAGAGGACGCTGAAACTTTCCGAAATCACAAAAGAGTTCATCTACCGGGTCTGTATACTTTGTGACTTTGTTCCAGGTTACCGGGTCTGTATACACTCCCGGGGGCGCATGCCCCCTTGAAACCCCCCTTGTTTGTTAGGTTGGCAGAGTGGCAAGCCCCCCTGAAACCCTCGTTTGTTAGGTTGGCAGAGTGGCAAGCCCCCCTGAAACCCTTGTTTGTTAGGTTGGCAGAGTGGCAAGCCCCCCTGAAACCCAGGGTTGGTGATTTTTTTGATAAAAATTTAAAAAATCGATTTTTTAAATTTAAATCAAGATTTTTTAAAATTTAAATCGGATTTGGTATTTTTTTTACTTTCCCTCCCGTCTCACACTCAGCTACCAGTTGTCTATTTTCTACTAAATATTGATGCGCTGAACACGAATATCAACTTCATTTCCGTCGCAAATTAATGGTTTTTGAAATATTTGATTGTTTTTAACCGAGATAGACATGCTTTGGACCAATCGGGGGGTTACAGGGGGGCATGCCCCCCTGTTTTTGCACCCATAATTTGATATTTTACAGTTAGATTTGAAATTGTCTTGAAAATAATTGATTTGCGACAGTTTTAGTGGCTTTATGTGTGATCTGCAGCAAACAGTACAGCAGTTTGACCCCTGAAACAGTGCATCTGTGTGCGGGAGTGAAAGTAAAAATTTACCTCGGATTTTTTTAAAAATGTCGACACAGTTTGGGATTTTTTGTTGCTAAAAGTATGTTCTTTTAGTGCAAAATGCATTGTCTTTATTTCAACTAATGGTTAATTTAAGCAACTGCAAAAGAAAGCCTTAATCTGCTATATCAGTGAAGTATGGCTACAGACACAAAATTAAGAAAATGTCAGTCTAAAAGGAAGGGGGAGGGGGGTAATTATGCATAGATAAACTTGCATTTTATTACAGTGTGTGTGTGTGCGCGCGCGCGCTTGTGTTTGTCTATAAAGAAAAAGAAAATGTTAATTTCAATAATGAAAAAAAAAGTAAATTGAATACTGTATTATTTTACAGTAGCAGAGGGGAAAGCAGACTTTTAAGCATGATTATATTAGTCTGCTAAACCTTATATACTGTTTTATAAAACCAAGGAAAGGAATTCTGAATATTTAAAGATGTAAAAACAGAATACATTTTTTTAAAGTGATTTAAATCAGTTTCATTTTTTAAATCAAGTTGGTTTAAATTTTTTTTAATCAACTGATTTAAATCAATCCAACCCTGATTTCAATTATGAAAAAAAAAGTCAATTGAATACTGTATTATTTTACAGTGACAGGGGGGGAAGCAGACTTTTAAGCATGATTATATTAGTCTACTAAACCTTAAAAATCTGTTTAATAAAACCAAGGAAAGGAATTTTGAATGTTCAAATATGTAAAATCTGAATACATTTTTTAAAAAAGTGATTTAAATCACTGATTTTTATTTTAAAAATCAAGTTGATTAAAATATATATAAAAAATCAACTGATTTAAATCAACCCAGCTCTGATTTCAATTATGGAAAAAAAAAGTAAATTGAGTACTGTATTATTTTACAGTGAAAGGAGGGAAAGCAGACTTTTAAACACAATTATATTAGTCTACTTAACCTTATATCTGTTTTATGAAACCAAGGAAAGGAATTCTGAATGTTGAAATATGTAAAAACTGAATACAAATAAATTGTTTAAAAAGTGATTTAAATCACTGGTTTTTATTTTAAAAATCAAGTTGATTTAAATAAAAAAAATCAACTGATTTAAATCAACCCAACCCTGCTGAAACCCCCACTTGCCTTGTTAACCCTGTCTTAGCGCTGAGCCATTTTTACCATTACTTCCCTTCAGTGCTAATTTTAGAAAAATGCTAATTTTCAACATGGCTATAAAGAAACGAAGTGACTATTTCTCCGAGCGGTTTCTGGCTTCCGGTCTCATGATTTTGTGCCTATTTGCGATAGTTCAACGCCAACTTTCCTTCTGCCATTCTGCGAGGTCTGGGAAGGAGCAAATTTTTGGGTCTAGATCTATTTCAATTTTAAAAAACGTTTAAAAGAAAGGTTTCACAACAGAATGAAATCAAAATTAGAACAGCCCATAAACAACCACAAAATTAAAAAAATAAGGGCCTATGTCCACCTGTCCGAAGAAGATTGGCTGTTTTAACCCTAACTAAATGTGCGTAGTTCCAAAAATAAAAAAAGTACAGGATATTACATGTAAATTATGGAATCACACTCAAGGGGCCTGCTAGTGTCTGTACATGTAATCGGTTTTGGTGGAATGCTCTAACATAACTTATTTAAATCTATGTAGAATCTAATGAGGTAGGAACATCAAATTAAATGTCGTTACACTTTACAACATCCCCCCCCCCTTTCCCCAACAAAAAAAATATAGGAAAACAACACATCGGAACAATAACAAGAAAAATAAATTACCCACTAACAAAATAAAACACCACACAAAGAGGGGAAAATAAGAACAGCAATACAAATCGCATATATATATAACTGTAACGTATTCAACAAATCAACGTGGTGACAACAAGTGAGAAAGAGACGGAGTTAAGCTAAGTGAACTTTCTTTCAAAAGTAAAGAGGTTCAGTTTTTCTTCTTTTTTTTTTTTTATTATTCCCTGATTCGGGGACCAAAAAATTGAGCCGCGATTGATTGGTCGCGGCCATGAAAAACGAAGAGATGCTAGTTCTATGTGCCGTTATCAATACCCTCCATAGATCTAGACAGCACACGAGTGAACACAACACATTAAGTTTAAGAGAAGCACCCTTCATTGGCAACACGTCATATCTGTAGCGAAAAACTGTTTGGAACTGTAGCATGTCTAGGCCGTTGTTATTCGGACTCGGGTCCGGGAAAAAAGGAAGTGTCTTCGTTCTATAGATCTAACGTTCAGTGCTTCCAATTTTCCGCCATTTTTTAGTTTCCCCCACACCTTATCTGCCGATCCAATGCCCGCCGCCTCATTGATACCCCGTTTCCCACTTTCTTTGTTGTAGAAAAAGGTAAAATTGAAGATTAGCAGACCACCTAGCACCTGCATATTATGACCTGTGTTTAAAAAAAAAATTATAAAAAAAAGACCGATTCGTTCAAATACACAAGCCTGTGTCATATCGATTGTTACCAAGAAAAAGTTGTGTTGCTGTGTAGGGCTGAGCATACGGCAACTTTTGATTCCATAGACCAGCGCACAATTCAGTACGTAGATCTACGTCAAGACTAGCTTATTATTGTAATAATGATCAGTTGGCGAGGGGGAAAAGACTGACGCGTATGCGACGTTCAAAGCCCGGACCGATAGTCCCCCCCACCACCACCCTCCCCGACAGGCACACAGCCACACGTGTGCAGGCCGCCCATCCGACCCCGACACACGCTAACGAGCCATCTTTAATTGCTTCTGATGATCTCTTAACAAATAAACATTTATTAGAAGCATTATAACTTTTCAGGCCAGCCTCAAATTCATCATAAGATTATAACTCGGCTCCTGCACAAAACGCCTTTTTGCCCGAAGTGATCCCGGTCTCTACCCAGCCTGAGGCGAGTCACGAGTGAGGCAGGACAGGAAGCCGGATTCACGAGTCACAGGAAGTCGGAAGTGATGTCATGCTGGACAAGAATCAGAGTCCAAATAACATTTTTTCATATTCGGACTCGAGTCCGAATAATCACTTCGTTTCTTTTTATATAAATATTTACTGCGGACATTTTTTGGACCGATTGAACCTTATTGTATACGAGCAATCTTTGGTAGGCCTGTAATATAATTAAAGATCTATATATATCCGAAATTTGCAGGAAAGAATGTGATTTCAGAGTGTTGGAAGAAATAGTGCCGGCCATTTAAAAAAAAGCTCATATCTTTCTTATATTTATCATAATTTCTCATTACAGTAAGAAGGAAAAATGTCTTAAACAATGAACTACCCTTATGTCTGGTCAGATGTGTTTTTTTTAAAGTATGTTGTTGTTTGTATCAAAATCCTCATCATTTTTCGTCCAGCCTGCTTGGAGATGAGCAGGAATATCGATAATAAATGAATGTGTTTTGTGTTTGCCAGTGGCCTAAAAAAACCACTGAAATAAATTTACTCGTACACTGCAATTATTTACCTTTTGTGGTATTGTTGTTTCAGAGATGATGTCCAGAGCGCTGGAGCTGTTGCTGCCTCTATGGACATTTATGAGGCGCTGCAAGAAGTCCTCAAGACTGCCCTCATCCACGATGGTCTGTGCAGAGGTGTGAAGGAGGCTACCAAAGCCCTCGACAGGTATTATTAGCTGTATTTAAAATATTTTGTCACTTGTCTGGAGGAGGCTTTTGTTTTGTTTGTTGTTTTTAATTCAGATCGGGGGGGGGGGTTGTTTTTTTTTGTTTTTTTTGCTCTTTCAAAATATAACACTAAATGCTGTACACCATGGAAAAGCTCAGTAGGGCCTCATTACAATGTTGTAAGTTGTTTGTATGAAATTTCACAGGAGTCTTATTCCTTTCAAATGAAACTGATAAATTTGGCAAACAGCTACTTTGAACATTTAGTTTGTGGTAACTGTTTACTGTGATAGTTGGGGCTTTGACTATTTTACGTGCTATGTTCTAGGATGTGAGTGCTATAACTCACTTCAGACTGGACCCGTTTTGGGCCAACAACCCCTGAGCACTAGCGTTTTTGGTGCATTTTTAAAAAATCACACTGACTTTATTTATGAATGGATCTTAACTAAATTTGGACACACATTTGTTTAACATGTACTAAACAAAATGCAAAAAACAGAACTTGATTATCTTTATTAGTTTTTTTTTCACGATTTTTTTCCAATCATGTGTAATTTCCATTTTCAAAAAAAAAAAAAATGCAATGGTGGTCCCAATAAACATGTGAATAAACATAAAAATAGTAAGTTTTTCTCAATCAGCTTTGCTGAGTGAGTAAAAGCACAATGCAAATAATAAAATTCAGCACTTACAGTATGTTGAGTAAAAAGTTACTCGTCATTTTGGCAGTAATTCAGCTGCGTGTGGAACATTGCAAAGCACGGGTGAATGCAGAGAGGGGTCTTGCACACAACACACCAATGATATGTCTCTTTGGCTCTTTTCTTTTTCCCTGGTGTCTCTGGGAGAGCATCCCTGCACCTCTTACACTCTCTCCTGGGCTTTGAACTAGTTTGGGTGATGGGAAGGGGTTCAAGGAGGTGGAACTCCTTGGCAACGTCGAGACGAGCTAGCGTAGGTTTGATGACAGTCCTTGGTGGACGACGATGAGCTGGACGCTGACTGACGTACTCCTCACTCAGCTGTTCACCCAAGAGCTTGATAAATTTAGGCAGGGGCACTTGTCTTTTGTTTTGAAGCTTTTGCAATTTGTTGTATATGATGGATGCTTGGATGATGGAGAGTGTAAACATGTGTGTGAAAAGTTTCGTCGTCCACTTTGACGTTCGGCGAGCGAGAGGTAAGTAGGAAAGTAGTTGATCATTTTTATCTACTCCACTCATGTTCTTTGAATACTGAACCACACAAGTTGGTTTCTCTTTATTTGTGACATTTCTTGTTGTGACTATGGTAGTTTCTCTTGGGTCAACAGCTGAAGTGAGTATATGGACTTCTCGCTTGTCCTTCCATTTCAGGGCAACGAGAGGGCCCCTTCGTTTGAAAGCGGTGTCTCCTTGCACTGGTGTCCTAAGTTCTTCAGGCTTCGGCATTCCTCGCCTGTTTGCCCGCACTGTGCCGGTGCACATTGTTCCTTTCTCAATTAGTTTGTCGAACAACTCTGGACATGAATAGTAATTATCAGTATATAAATGATACCCCTTGTTCAGCAGTGGCTCTATGATGCGCATCACCACGTCAGTCGGCTTATTACTGTATCGTGGATCAGCAGCATAAATCTCAAACCGATGCACATAGGAGGAACTTGCCTCACACAATTCGTAGAACTTTATGCCCCATGGCGTGGGCTTGTCCTTGAGGTAAACCTTGAAACGGAGTTTCCCACACCACGGGCACATTGCCTCGTCCAGTGAAACATCTTGCTCTGGAGTATACACCTCCTCAAACCTCCTTTGAAGGTGCTCATACACCTTCTTTATTTTGAAAAGAGGATCGTGGTTTGGCTGATCGGGAGGAATATAAGCCGCATTGTCACTGAAGTGCAGCATGGTCATTATTGATCGGAAACGGTCACGAGGCAAAATAGTACGAGCGAAGTCCGATGAAATGAATTCCTGCGTACTCCAGTAATCGTACATAGAAGGTTTTTTTACAGTGCCCATGTGCAGGAGGATAAGCAAGAATCCTTTTATCTCATGAAGGGTGACAGTTTTCCATTCCTTTACATTTTTCTGTCTACTGTAGGGCTCTGTTCTTGAGAGGTAGGTAGCATAACGATTCGTCTCTTCTTTGATCAATTTGACGATGTAGTCATCAATGAACAATTTGTAACATGACAAGGCACTGTAATTTTCCCTATCGATCTGATCACTTATGCCACTTGTTCCAGTAAATGGGGGTAATTGGGGAAAACCAGTCAAATCACTAGACCAGCCAGACCTGTCAAGAATATTACCACCATGCTGAGGCTGAACGGTTGCGTCCAAATCGAAATTGTCTCTTTCACCAGTGTCACCTTCTGTTTCTGAATCACTCGAGTCAATGTCACTACCCACAGTGTGAATAATTTCGTCACTAGATCTCGATGTTGTGCTTCTAGTACTAGTACTAGATCGGGAATCCCGACCACTGGATGGGGCTAGGCCACTGCCACTGGGCCCAGGTTGATCGATCTCTCCATTGTTGTCATCAGTTCTTGATCGAAATGTAGATCTACCACTACTACTTACTCCACTATTCTTTTTCTTGCGTTTTTCTGGAACATATTCTGGATCCCTATCACTATCATAACCTTCTTGATCAGTTTCCGAACCAAAACCATCATCAAACACGCTGAAAATATTTCTTTCCTCCATTTTCACAACAACACTGCCTCATGCTTCTCTGCGTACTTTCCGCGTGCTTTGTTTTGATTTTCCGCCACTCGGGTCCTTTTATTTGGGTCGCGGTAACTTAAAAACTATCAGCCCCAGAGATACGAAACTACGTCCAAGTAGCTCAGAATTGGCTAAACAAGGGCACGAGACAGGTCACGCATTGCGTGCGTGATTTGTATAGCTAAAAAAAAATTCCAAAGTTGGTCACGCAGGGATTGCGTGACCCGACGCGAGCGCAGTGGCAGGGGTCACGCAACTTTTGCGTGACCCGTCTGAAGTGAGTTAAAAAGGGGCATGTTGTTGGGTTGTTTTTTTACCATTCTGCGCCATGGATACCAAGCAAAATTTTGTTATTGCAGTTTTGCTCTTCATCATCCACTTCCTGTATTGCTGTTGTTCCTCCAAGTTGGGCTGGAAGATTTTTCAACTTTTTGTTATGGAATTTCAAAGGGCAACTTTTATTTCCTGTGCTGTTTGCTTTCTAATTCTCTAAGAAACCATGCAAATTTAAAATTTCGCTGTTGGCGAAAGTGTATCATAAACATTGTGTAGCTGAAGTGAGAAATATGTAGACCAAAATTACATGGTACTTCACCAAATTTAAATCAGTCCTACCAGAGGCTGTGTTCTCAATAGTTCTGCCTTTTTGTTTCTACTAAGACAGATGGGGTTAAAACATTTAACCCATTATCTAATTGTTTTGTGCTGGTGACTTGTTGCAGTCTGTTTTATTCATAACTACATGAAAAAAATATTCACCCCTTGACTGGGCTGTTAGAGCCTGGGAGTGAGTAGTGTGTGAAGAAAGAAAAAGGCCGATGGGGTGTGATGAAGGTGGGATACAGATTGTAATTTAGTCACAAATAGTGTAAAAGTTAAATTGTGATCTGATAGTCATAATGGTCTGGGGCCAGTGTACGGTTGGTTCTTGATTCATGAATTCATGAAATGACTGTTGAAGTGTCTCCCGGTTATACCATTCTTATATCTTATAAAGTGTTCAGCATACTTTTTCAATAAACGTGGAATTTTCTTGACCCTCTTTTTTTTTCCTCCAGACGCCAGGCTCACTTGTGCATCTTGGCCAACAGTGTTGATGAACCCTTGTTCACAAAGCTGATCGAAGCTCTTTGTGCTGAGCATGGCATTAGTCTCCTGAAGGTGAGCTGTGTGTCTTAAAATATATCTTGCAACTCCACAGAACTTTTTCTTTTTTTAATTCATACAATTTTGACTGGAAATTGTGTTTGGAGGAATCTGTATCTGATGTTTATATGGAAGTCTACCTAAAAAAATTGATTTAGACCTGCATGTTTGCCGCAATCGTCTGAAATTCGACCCGCGACCCGGCCGGTGCTATCGTTAGGTCCACCTGTATTAGTCAAAGTGTGAGGCCTGGCCGATTGCCACCACCCCTTTTTCCTTTTGTTGGCGTTTTTTGACATAATTGCCGGAACCTGGGTAAAAATACGAATACGAAAAAGAACGACGTCCTAAATGATCTACTTTAAGTTTCTTGCTCGAGCGGCAATTTTGAATTTCGTCTGTTAGCTGATTGTTCGGATAGATCTATGTGGATTTATTCAAATCCTACTCGCTTGTTCTGCTAGATCTAGCTCTAGATTTATATATAGATTATTATAGACCTCAATGGAGGATTCATATTCCAATTCTATTGTGTCAAACCCTATCATAGGTTGTGCTGTAATATTAATGTTTGTAAAAGAGCATTTCATCAGGTGTGTAAATTATTAGACTCAGCTGAGTCAATGATCGTGGTCTTTCTGTTCGGAATCGGATGCGAATGTCCCGTTCAAGGCCAAGATCTAAATCTAGATCTATTCCTATTTACTTGTTCTACACTAGATCTAGATGTAGATATTATTTAGATTACTATATGGAGCAGGGCTTCCAGTCTTCCGCAATTTTGGCGGATTTCCGCAAATTAGCAGAATTCCGCAAATGGAAAAATTTCCAAAAAAATTTATTTTCAAAAATGCGAAATGCAAAATTTCCGTTATTACCAATAGTCAACAAAAGCCAACCCATACCGGAAGTGCTCTTTTATTTGAAAGTATAGACAGTGTCTTTCACTTTCTAAAGCACAAGAAGCACAGCACCAGCTCTGTAAACAAGAGGAAGAAATGACGATTGTGGTTCTAGATCTATCGATCTTGGGCCTTCCAAGAAAAGAAAACTCTAAAGAGAGCTTGATTATATTTTTTTACCAGACTTGTTTATTTGTAAGTATTGTTGTGGATTTAAGTTGATATAGATATAGATCTAGCTGTCCAGTTATTTAGATCTAGACTAGATCTAGATCAAGTCAAGCTGTTATACTGGATTCTGAATCTAGCTAATCTAGACCTACACCTTATGGTGATTATGGTGCAAACCAACACAAGCAGAAAAAAGTTGAACATTAACTGTCAAGTTTTATAGATCTAGTTGTGGATGTACAGTATCTGTACAAGGGAGAAAGCATGGCTTTGGATTTGGAAATATATGGATTAACACAAGCAGAAAATTATGTAGGCTAGATCTAGATTCTAGGTCTATGCGGTATGCAAGGTATGTTTTTTTTCTCACTTATTTTCTTGTTAAATTTAGGCTTGAATAGCCAGAAATGGCATACTTAGGATGCCCTGAAACCAAAAATTCTCAAACGTAAAGGGGACGCTGTCCCCCTTCAACCCGCTGCCAGGGCTCCGCCCTGGACCCGAAAATCCTCAAAAAATGACATCAGCTGCTGGAAAGCTCTGATGGAGGATTCGGTGTTCATATTCCAATGCTGTTGTGTTATTGTATCAAACCCTATTACAGCAGTGTAGGTCATAGATCTATGCCCTTTGTTTGTTTTGGGGTTTTTTTTTTCATTTTGGACTTGTGCTGGCTTTTTTTTACATGAGGGGCGTTGCAGGTTTTTTGGGGGGTAGATGTAGGGTTAGGTCTCTTCTTTATTGTGTTTGTTGGGGTGGTCGCTCGTTACACAAAAGCTCTTGGGGGGATTTTCAGTCAATCTGGTTGAGGCTCTCATATTAATTGCTTAAAGTAAGCAGTGTGGGTAGTTGGTGGGTGCTCTGGTTTGCTCCTTCTTTACTATAAAATATCTATCAACCTTATCTCTCCTTTTGTGTGTATGTCATTCTCTTGTAACACCCCTAATTTTCTGGACTTAAATGACCTAATTGTACTGCAAGCTGAAAAACTCTTTTATTGAAACTAAAATAAAAAGTTAACGGTGTGTTTAGGGAATGCACAAACACTGAAAACTTAGAATTTGGGCTGTAGTAACAAGTCTTCCACGGGGTGAAAGTACTCACTAAATGTGATGTCGTTGGAACTGTATCGATCTCAGCCATACATTTGTCTACTTGCCATCCGTTTCTCTTAGTACTGTTGGAAAACTCAGACCAAAATGTGAAGAAACCCTGTTTGTAAAATGGGAAAACTGAATGTGTGCATACAAATGATTTTTGTCTTGACATTCTTTATAAATAACACTATCTTGAAAAGGTATCTTATCTAACTCATAATCTGTGGGCATCAACAGATGTTACTTTAATCCACCGATAAGGAGACCAATTTCTGCATATGACGAGGAAATAACATTTTGTGTAAAAATCAAGATCGATTGAAAGATTTTTTGTTTGCAAAGGGAAGTCCTGGTTTGTTTTTTTTTTAAGCGGCAGTGCCAAAATACGCTGCGCGGCGTACATAAAAATCAGGCCACAGGGGATATGGGTTAACTGCAGTGGGAGGGAATTCTACACCGAGGGAAGCCTTATTTTGTGAATCTGACTTTCACTGTGTTCACAGCTCACCTCCGTTATTTCACTTGACACAGGTTTTATGTAGGCCTATTATATGCCAAATGTCATTTGGTTGCACCAAGATTTCATCTTAGTGTCCTAACATTTCCCACCCCCAGGTTGATGATGCGAAGAAGCTTGGAGAATGGTCGGGCCTCTGCAAACTGGACAAAGATGGCAAGGCAAGAAAAGTCAACGCTTGTGGAGTCGTCGTCGTAAGAGTAAGTGTTCACATCGTTTACAGTAGAGTAGTTGCCGCCCTTGGTGGTTTGTGGGATTTTTATTGTATGGATCTAATCTTTCATCTTGGGATTGTGATGTTGGTTTCTCCCATATATATATAAACACACACTGAGCATGGTACGATGCCTGCACTGCCCTCACTTTCGCCCTAACATTGTACGTAGATGGTTTGTTGGGATTTGTCCCATGTCTTTTTTTAAAAGGGGGCATAGTTGTAAAAAGAAAGTAGGTTCTATGGCAGGGGTGTGGAAGAAAGACAGCCATTCTCTCTTGTCAATACAGTGGTGTCCCTCCTAGTCAATACAGTGGTGTCCCTCCTAGTCAATACAGTGGTGTCCCTCCTAGTCAATACAGTGGTGTCCCTCCTAGTCAATACAGTGGTGTCCCTCCTAGTCAATACAGTGGTGTCCCTCCTAGTCAATACAGTGGTGTCCCTCCTAAAAGCAACACCTTTGGGAAGCAGGCCTTAGTTGCTCTTATGGGAAGATAGGTTCTGGCAAGAGCATTTGGACAGCTCATGTACTCTCCAGTGTGTGTTTTTGACCCGATGAGGTGTTGTGAAGAGATACGCCAGGGGTGTGTGTGCACATGCTGAAACTATAGCCCAGTATCAGTGTTCACCCTGTGTTTGGTTTGCCAAACATAATTTTTTAGACAATTTATAGCAATAACGGTTGCTGTTAGAGAGGTTATTTATAAATAAATATGAAAACTGTTGCACAAGTTTAGGTTGCTGTACAGCTTGTTCGCTTTAGTCTGCCCGCAGTTAAAACAAGATAAAACAAATAATTGCCAGACCTGCCACTCATCCCGATTTTTTGCCCCAAATCTCAAGCATCCCGATTTTCCCAATTTCGATCGCGTGTATCCCGATTTTTTGTCCCAGTCTGCTGTTCTGCCGTATTTTTCTAAAAACTTACTCTGTCTTCTCCTTTATCACGGGAAGCACCCGTTGACCTTTTTGTCAGTAGGAACTCGGAGCACTATTTCCCGAAATATCGATGCCGCATTTAGTAGTTGACTCGCCCCAAGTTGTGTGTGATCTTTGCCCACACTCAGAATTCTCCGATGATAGCCTGGTAACTGTTACAATTTGGGACATACAAATAAGCAATAATATTCGTAGTTTCGCTGTTACTTTCAAAACAAGCCTTGTCCGGGGTCTGGTAACTGCGCGTTCACATCGGACGAGCGACCCTTACACAACTACATGTAACTGCGCTGACAAGACTAATATTTGGACGTTGTCATTGCTTTAGTCTGAACGCATTATTAGGGATAAGAGATTTGTTGGTACAATTGGTCGGTCGGCCTCCGTCGTAATCCTAGAGTACTAGAAGTAGAACGACTGTCGCTCATCCGAGTGTTTTGTGTGAACGCGCAGTTAGTCGGACCCGTTAGTAAAATTGTTTTAATCGCACATTCGTGTCACGTGACATATCATCGCCGTGTGAGTTCTGCGTGTCGGGGACCGTCCGTTGATGGGGTCAACTTAAGTTCATGTATTTCGGGACTTATTGGTGGGGTGGAGGGGGGGGGGGGAGTATAGACACTTGGACTAGGAGTGCTTGAAGGGATGCTTCAGGATTTACACAAATTAATAACTCGCACACACACACACGTGCGCGCACACAAACAAACAAAGACACTCAGAGTGCATATATGCCAACTAATTTATGGACACCCGTGGAAAAATATTAAGTAGCTTTCGCAGTCACCTTGGTGATTTGCTGTTGATCCCGATTTTTTTTCTCCCTGAGATCCTGATTTTGAGGTTTCATAGAGTGGCAGGTCTGAATTGCTCTGTTTAGTCTTCTCAGTTTGCATGCTGTCTAAAATGTGGTTGACCCTACAGAATTGAGGAGCCCGTTATTGAAAGTCAATGCAAAGAAGGTTCTGACATATTTTCTTTGATGTTAGCGTAAAGCAGGTCATAATCCGACAGATTGGTGAGTACTTTTCGAGACTCACATAGAGAGCTTTGGGGTAGAAATCTACAAGCTTAAACTGAAATAGGGGGTATAAGTCTTAATATGGGCCAATTTTTGGCTTGGTTACTGTCAATCATTTATTGTAGTGTCCCCGTGCATGTACCTTATGGGCAGTGTCTAATATAGGACTAAATAAAAAATGCTTGTTACTGGATCGAGATTGATTTTTTTTTTTTTTACAATTCAAAGGTACATGTGCATTGGGGGCTTAATAAAAAAGCTTGAAATTTTTTATGCGGACAGTCGAAAGTAAACAAGTTATGGGATGATGTTACTGTTATCTCGGTTGCTGAGTGGGTATAAATGTCCTTACATTTTTATCCTGCATGTGGTTAGTGAACACCTTGGTGTTGACGCAAACTTTCCACCCAGTGACGTGGAATGACCTTGATCTTGCGGCTTATTGTCAAATGCTTAATCATTGGGTACAGTGTTATGTAAGCCTAATCCACTTCAATAATAGGGATATCACATGGGCCCTTTCAGTCCTGTTGTGGGGGGGGGGGGGGGGGGTGCTCTGGTGTAGTTTGCTCCTTCTTTCTCCTATCAAACATCTATTGTCCTTATCTCTCCTCCTCTCTCGCAACACCTCAAATCTTCGGCACTTATGTGGCCCTATTATATTGTGTTGCGAGTGTCGTAAAACTCAAAGACTTAAGTGTAGGCTACTTTTCATTTTGTCTCGTCTCTCCTATTTTTGTCTGCTTTCTTTCGTTTTCAGTTCTGCATTATTAGACAGTGTCCAGAGTGTTGCTTGGCTAACGTTGGGTTTTTGTGTTTCTTCCTCAGGACTATGGCAAGGAATCACAAGCGCTTGACGTCGTTAGAGAATACCTGAAGACCAAGTAATGGTGACAAAAATTAAGAAAAAAAATGAATAAATAATGAGGATTCTTGCATCGCCTCAAAAACAAATGATTCCTCTTGTACCTTGTGTTTTCTAAGAGGTAGCCTATTACATTTTATTGTTAAAAAAATAAAAATATTGTAGTCTGTTGGGGCCTATAAATGCTACCTGCTAAGTAAAAGTAGTAGATTGAGCGCGGTTGATATTGACCATTCATCCTAACAACCATGGTTCTTCGAAGTCGGGGGAAACCCTGTTGCTGCACAAACTGGGTCGTAGCCCAAACTAGAATAGCATGGAAGTCCGAGATTTTTGTGGAATAAATTACACCCTAAGGGTCTGGCCGAGAATCTACCCCCACATCCTAGGCAAGGGGAAGGAACCCACCTCCCGTTAACATTATAAACTTTAAAAAACACTTTAAAAATACTAAACAAATTCCAAATATCCTGAAAAAAATAAAACTTAGAAAGAGAAATGGTTGTTGTTTCAGAAAAAAAGTTAATGTATGCACAAACTGTTGGAACTGTTCTAACTTCATTCGATTGGAGTGTCCAACCCGTCACTTTAAGCCTCGCGGTTGGGCCCTAGATCTAGACATGTAAGTACCTGTACACGGATTGTGAGTGAGGGTGGTGAGGTGTCATCGAAGACACACAGGTTGGCGCAGCAGTGGGCCGCATAAATAGTGTGTTAAATACATTGTGTGTGTCGTTTGGAACGTGAAGGTATAGCGGGGGGGTGAGGGGTGCCACTGATAGGTCCCACTTCTTTACTTTCTGTCTGTCGTACTTTTCCCCTGTACTCAATTATCATTGTTGTGTTCGGTGTGCTTCACTTTACAACTTTACTTAACGAAGAAAGAAAACTAACATGGTATGGGTCGGGAAGTGGTTGCTGGTTACACAAGTACAAGAGTGTGGTTGGCGTGTTCTGACCAGTCGCTACAGGAACTCTGAATGACACTGACAGTTTTGGCCGTTTTGAGTTGCTCAGACCATGAAACATTGAAATTTGGATTCTCCACTACTGCAATCATTTGAGTGTTCTCCTGCGTACATGTACAGCCCTCGTAACCGTCCTATCTTCTCTATCAAAATCGAAAGATAATTTGAAATCATAGTCAAATTCAAAGAATTGCCTAAAAAAAAGCTTGACCTGATCATTCATGCCGTCGTGAAACTCAATTTTTGCCATCAACTTTCTCCGAACTAGGTTTTGAGCAGATAGACCTGTGTAATTCTGAGGTGTTGGCTACATCGTCATGATTGTGATCAAACATTGGAGTAATTATATTTTCTATTAAGATCAGATGTAAATCTAAATCCCATCAGCATCACTCTTCGGTCCTTACTCTTGGGCTTTTTCAAATACAGGTGTTTTAATATGTCGTGATAACGACTCCGAATATCTTTACAATTTTGATAGAGCAAACATCTTCTTTGTGGCCTCATGGTCTTAGTAATTCAAAACGGCCAAAATGTCGGATAGAACTTAGTAATTCTGAGGTAGAGTAAAGCCCCGTTACACGCAGGGACAAATAGTATCAGATTTGTCGTTTGAGAGAACTGTCCGTTTTATCGAACTGTGTTGTCTGTTTACACGTTCCAATCTATCGTCCAGTTTTCTATCGATTGAGGAGATTCCTCGTCAAAAAGCCACCATCGTGTCTCTTTGCGACGACAGTGATTTGCCTGCTCCCTTTGTGAAGGTTTCGAGCTCTGGACCTATTGAATGAGAGGCGAACACTACCTCTAGATCACAGAAGCCCGCACCCCCCTTCCCTTGTACATTATAGCAGAGCAGTGCCTTTAGAAAAGGGTGGCCATACCACTGTAGGCTTACTGTGTTGTGTGTAGAACTGGAAGTGGAAGCTATGATTTGTTGACTGCAGATGTGCAACGCACCGAATGACCTTGATGCAAAGCTTCACAATTTACGATCAACTAGCCTAAATAATAAAATTGCTAAAATATAAATAAGCTGCGAAGAACAACTTTGCTAATTTTGAGACGCTGATTTCGAAAATGAAATCAGTTTTTACCTACGATTATTATTTTTAAAATTTTGAGTTCTGAGTTTAGTGCTGCGCGGCGGCAAATTTCAAAGTGAATCTACGTCACAGCGCATCCCCCTCAAGTGTGATCGCACGGAAAATATCAAGCAGCGCTTGATTTCTCGACAGTCTCCAAACCATGGTTCGATCGTCCGAATTTTGTACAATTTTGTGGTTAGATCTACACCTAAAGTTTTATCGTATGATCACTAGATCTAGATCGTCCAGTTTTTGTACAATTTATCATTTCGTGTAACCGGGCCTTAATACATGTACAATGAAATAGTAATACTATCGACAACGGATGAGTTGTTGTCGGCGGAATGAAAAGATCAACTCATCCAAAGTTCCACTTATCTGTCGGGACCACAAAACCAAAGGGCCTAACAAAATCTTTGTCTTTGTCCACTGCTCACGATTCTAACCCCTTCACTGCCTCGCCTGAGACTGTCTTGGGCTCTCCGGATGGACTAACTGTAAGGAGAAGCAAATTCCTGCGTTACACAAATCTTAATGTTTATCAACAAATGTTCAACAACACAGTAGATCTAATTGAACAATTTTTATTTGATTTCCTGAATCTTTTTAAAAAAAATTATTTTATCTTTTGTTCGGGGAGGGGTGGGGGTGTGAAGGTTGTGTAGAATACAGTGGAGTCCACTTATATAACGAGTCCGGAAAAAACGAGAAGTCTGTTATACAGACACTATTCTAAAACCCTGTTGTTGTTTTTTTCTTTTCTTTACCTTCCCTTTGTACTTTATAAATAAAATACTGCTATTGCGCTATCAGTCAGTCAAACATGCGAGTATAAATAATGTAAAACCTCGCCAGTTGAGAAACGTGTTGGTGATCTAGCAAAACAAAGAATGGGAGAGCCCATGTGTGTCAATAATGAAGGCCGGAGCGACTGAGTAAGGAGGGTGTGGCAAGCACAGACAAGCAGAAAGCATCGCGTGATACATGTAGGTCATCGTAAGCCTTGTTTAGATTATTTCCATAATGGGAATGTGTGAGGTGCGCGCAAGCAGACGGAATGCACCACAGGGTGTGGTGGGGTGGGGGAAAAACACAGCGGGGCGAGTTAGCCCTGAGCCCTTTCTTTCTCATCGCCAACGCCGAGCTGTCAGTCAACATCACTAGCGCTAGTGAAAGAAACCTGATTCGATTTTTGATCAAGTAAGACATGGAGGTCATGTTGGGCAAAATCATCATCAGGGGAGAAAGAAAAAAGAGCTAAAAAGATCACTTAAACTCATAGATTAGACCTACTTTATTATTTCCCTTGAATTTATTACTGGATCCCTTTATACTTATAGTTATATAGCGTGAATCCTGCTTTAACGGACATTTTCCACCGGTCCCCTCCCTCTCGTTATAACAGGATTCCACTGTATATATATTGTATTTTCTGTCTCTTATACCCAAATACCCAGAACAAATGAAAATGACACTCCCACCCCCTATATTTCATAAACTCCAAATCATCATTCTCTAACTCAAACTCAAACACTCAAATCCCCCTTTCCTTCACTAACTCCCACAACCCTCCATTCCCCTCACCCGTTTCCCCCAACCCGACCCACCGACTTTCCATTCCCCAAACCCATGCCCAACCCCCTCAGCCCCTTCCCAACCCCACTAATTACCCTCCATACAAGAATGTTTTATATCTATTTTTCAAAGAGTAAAAATTCTTACTGGGACTCCAAACTTCAGAAAGTAGAAAGGAAATTATGGAAATGTGAATACATGTACACAGCCTGATGGAGAGAAAGATTCACTTGTAAGATTGATTTGAAATAAGTTATATTAAGTAATAAAGATACAGCATACAAATGGAGAAACAGGACAAGCCTTGCGTTAATTGATTTCGAGAAATACCATTTACAGTTACAGACGTTTTTAAATTAAGTCTAGCACGCGCGTCATAGGAAAATTGGCAAAACATGAACGTCTTTTTGGTTTCGTTATGTACGAATTTCGCTAGGTACATGTACACGAAGACAAATAACAACAACATAGGGCCTACATGCTTTCAATAATCTGGACCTCTTCCAAGGACATAATGTCGGGCCCCTGACGGGGTGCGAACCGACGACCTTTCAGTTGCCAGCCTAACAGTTTTAGTAACAGCCTGATCACTAGACCACCGACACATGTATAGTAGCATAGTACAGTCCATGCCGGTTTTAAGCACGGTCGTCGGGAGAAAGCTTAAGCGTGCTTAAAGCCGAAGCGTGCTTGAGTGCGAAGTAGACATAATCCAGAGATTTTCAAATAAACTCCTGTATGGGACACATACAGGATTTCTTTACTGATATTGGAAAAAAATGGAGAATAGATGGCGCATACAGGATTTAAGTAAACAGAAAGTGAAATCATACAAAATTCAGAGTGCTCAAACACAATTTAGTTCGTCTTTTGTTGAACTGCACAATACGGTTTTCAAAATCATAGTCAATCTGATAATCATACAATCTATATGAAAAGACCAAAGTCATTTTAAAAGGTACAAAAAGACCTCTAAAATGCTTGGGAAATGATTATAAATATCTAAATACATGAAACATTTTGACTGCCAGAAATAAAAAATCAAACCCCAGAGAGTATGTCTGAATGTCGTATAACTATAACGTATTCGTAACCCGTAAAGTCATTCTTTGCATCGGAAAAGACTGCAGGGTGTACTTACAACATTACCAATTTGACGAGTAAAAAATACATTAGGAATAGATATGCGTAGTATGAGTTAAACATTAGCAGTCGGGCGCATTCATTCACACCTATCATGTGAAAAATGTAACATAATACATTTTTAACCAAGCAAAATAACTAGATCTATCTTAATTGCTGGAACTTTTATTAGGCCTTTCTAGTTAGAACACTCACAGAACAGGGACATTCTGGTGCAGAGGGTGATGAGCTGGTGGGATCAGGTTTGATGAACACAATGAAATGAGGCCATGTGAGTAGCTATTTGAAAAGTAAAATTAGAAACAAATTTACTGT